CGCATATGTCATCAGACAGATAACAAAAATATGAGTATGTGTGTGTGTGTGTGTGTGTGTGTGTGTGTGTGTGTGTGTGTAATATATATATTCGGATACCAGAATATATCTGATTCTGATATGAATGTATCCTGTTTCCATGTATATTGTGCACCTATACTCTTAAATATCCCTCCCTGTAATCAAAAAGTCATATCTCCGGCTTTTTTAAATCTTAAATATGAAGTCTTATAAATGTCCCTGCCTAATTAGCCTGGCTTAACTGTGTATTTTAATAAAAACACAATGAATTTAGTAAAGAATATCCTAAATATTCCCTAACTTTGTATGTAGTAAAAAAAAAATCAAATAAAAAGCTCCAAAATTAGGAGGTTTGTCCTCCGGAAAAATGCTGACTTCCTGACGGAGATACAAGATTTTCACATAAAACACCGTCATTTTATGACAGTAATCTGCAAAGTAGCTGCAGCTGTCGGATAAATGTGGTGTAAAAATGTCCACAGCGCTACACACCGGTGGCAGTAATTGAAGGCCACCTGAGCCGTGCGTGGCCGTGGCGCGCCCGGACCTGGACACGGAGCTTGTGGTTGTGTTGTTGCTGTTGTGGCTCACATGCTGCACTGTTGTAACTGTAAACGGTCTGCGGTGTTCCGACATCAAAAAGCAAATCTGCTCCTGATTAAAACAACACGGAGAGTTTACAGAGCAAGTAGGCGCTGGGATTAATTCAGCCGCACTAATTCTCATTATTTCAAAGGCCTGAGTCGCTCAGACGAGCCTCCGCTGACGGCGCGTCTTCTTCACATTGGGTCCGAGCTTTATGAGGCCAAAGGTGGCTTCACTTTATGTTGAAAGTTGGGATACTTTTTTTCCTCCCAAAATTGACAGATTCTCCCCTCAAGATTAACATCTACATTCAGTTCTGCTGGAAATGAGCTGATTTTACATCTGACATGTTAAAGAGAGCGAAATCCGCTTAAAATTCCTGAAAGATGTTCGTTGAAAGACCAACATGTTCCGTCTATCATCCAGATACTGCTGGGTTCCTATCGAAACAAATATATTAATTTGGCTATAACAATGAATCTTAAAACAGATACAGAAGTTAGATTAGGCTCCAGAGTAAATCAAATGAATGCAGCGAAGTGTGACCTGGTTCCACATATTGTCTGTTTAGTTCCATCACAGTTGTAGCTGAAGTGGAGTTCAGAGTCCACAGCGAGCTGGCTGGCTGGGTGGGGGTGGGTGGGGGGGTGGGTGAGGGTCTCTGTGGCTCTCGGACTTCTCGGGTTTCGGGGTCTTTTTCGACCTGTCGAGCGACGCCAGCGCCACATAAATCACACTTTACTTTATAAACCCCCTGCTCTCTGAAGTCCGGCCCAGCACACACACACACACACACACACACACACACACACACACACACACACACGTGCGCGCCTTCCCAGTGGAAATGTATTATGTATTCCCATGTAGAAGTGATTTCTGCAGTTTGAGCCCAGTTGGACGCTGTAATCTCCGCTGTCTATATCTTCTCATTTTTCTTAGTCATAATCCAGAGCACATTTCTCTTCCCCCCTGAGGAGTTATCTGAAAGGATTGTGACAATTGTTATTATTCCCATTTAAAACTGAAGCAGTGAGGGGGATGATGGGAAGATGTGGAGGAGAACAAACACTTTTATCTATTTGTGCAGGCCTTCATTTAGCAGAAACTTTGAGTAAAACAATGTGGAACGAGCTACAGAGGAATCCCTATTCCTCCATGAAGCAACGTTCAGAACTGTCAAAACGCTTTACCTTGTTTACTTGACACATTTTCCATGTGAGCTTGACATAATTTTTTATGTAAGTGAAGTCTGGACATATAAGTTCACTGTATTTGAATCTCTAAAGCACATACAGTCTTATGTCCCCACTTAATTTTTAATTGAGCTGAAAAATATTTCGTGTTTATAAAAAACTTATAGAAAAAAGACAAGATTTGCAGCATTATGATGAATACAAAAAATATACTGCGGTCTAACAAAACCACCACAATTTTCAGTCTTTTTTATAAAAATCTAAATTCAGCAGTAGAATTCTAGATCCTAATAACTCATAAGATTTCATGTTGTGATTAAAAATTCTGTTGTACTAAGTCACACATAACTCTGCTGTGTGTCAGGTGTACTCAGCAGTTGTTCCAGTAAACGTTCAAGTACAATGAGCAGGTTACGATTTACAGTACACTCCAAAATAAAGGAAAGTGTATACAGAAATGTAGTTGAAGTACCACAAGTAAATGCTCTCAGCGTACTAAATGGTCCTTTTCATCGTAGTACATTGTTGTTTCTAGTTTTTAGAACTGATGTACTCAAATATAAAAAGTCTTTTATGATTGCAGGCAGTCAAGGTGCAGCTATTAGCAAGTCAATACTGAATATTTTGACTTCTTTTTTTATTCAAATTGGCATGTCTATAAATGTTCTTTGCTTGAAACAAGCAATAAATATGAAAAGAAAGTTTCAAAGAATGCTGGAATATTTTTTAAACCAAATTTTCAAGCTCAATTGAAGATTAAAATGTGTTGATACATATTTCATCAGTGTATACAAAATATTTACAACCGTTAGAATTTGCAATGTACATACAGATACTGAAAAAATGCAATGGAGTAAAAATTCTTATATTGATGCATTAAATGTAATGGAGAAATGTATGTAGCATAAAATGCAATACTCAAGAAAAGTACAAGTAATATACTTTAGCAATCGTACTAGAAATACACTTAACCACAGTCCACCACTGGATCGTTTTCATATAGATCTTTACAAGTAAATGGGAATGGCATAACTGTATTGGTTTTATCTCATTTGTTTAACTTCAATTTGAAGAAATAAAATTTGCAGCTGAGGACATCCAACATTAATCTTGGAGTTTCTGCAGGTACCGACAGTACAGGGGTCACTCTCCCTCTCTCAGCCTCTACCTCCCAACTAATTAAAAAAGCTGCTTTTACAGCCTCTCATTCAGACTGCCAGATGTGACTGGAGCACTGCAAAACTCAAAGCAGTTTAGACAAAAACCTACTCCGCTTTTAAATGTATTGAAAAAGCAATGGGAGAAGCACTCTTACACTTACTGTGTAAATTCCTTCCCAGACCACAGAGTCAGTCCTGCAGATAGCTTATTGTCTTTGTACTAAAATGATAAATATACAGACAAAATACATATAAAAATATGATTCTTTATTTAAGTCAAGTATCACCCTGTACAGAAAATCTAAATACAACCCTTTTTAAATATTCATCCCATTTAAATACATGTTTTGTGTTGAAGAATATACAAATTAATGAATCAGATTTTGGTCAGGCTCACACAGTTCTTAAATTTTCACTAGATCATTGTTGTATATTATTTCTGACATTTTTTCATTTGGAGCAAGAGAAAGTAAAGCATGTAGGTCTGCATAAACATATGTAGCAGAAAGCATCCGTACATACATTAACATATCATCTTACCGTTCAGGAGGCCAGCAACTCCCCGGCTGCACTGACAAGATGAGAATTAGCTTTGTGAAACTTGAGCCCAGTGCCAACTAACAACTTCATCTACAACAATGGATTAATGCTTTGCTGAGTCTGCATGAAACAGAGGCTTTCCAGGAAATATACTGTACCAATCCTTCATTCTTGCCACAAAGTGATGAGAATCAAAAACAGCCATCTTTTGAATTCAACCTTTGCTCTGAGAGATAATTCACATAATGATGTAAAGCCACAACTTTGGAAGGCAGTCCATTTTTTGGAAGGCACACATAAAAAATGGCCAATTGAGGATAATGGCTACAAGATACTTTTCTGATTTACTCTGCAGCTGAACATGATTCTGACTGATCCTGCAGGTACAGATGAACAGTTGGGTGTCATTCGAAATTCTGGAAACACTCAAGTTACTATACCAATATGAGAAAAATCCTTTGCATGACATCTTTATTTTCTGTTTTTTTTTTTTTTAAATGTCATAAGACACCATAGTTTTCCATTTAATATGTTTAAATTAAAGCAGTCTCACGAGAAATATCTGAATTAAATGACCACAATTTATATAAAAATCCCCAAATGTCTGATCAAATACTTAAAAGATTACATATCTGGCCAGATGCTCTTTACCCGCCTTTGTTACTCGGTGCAACACACCAACCCTGTCTGCTAAAACCTGCTGCAACATACTACTTCTTAGCAACACCGATAACATTTGAAAATAACTGTACAGCCATCCAGATTATGTGTTCTTTTTAAACATGATCATGAAGAAATTAACTGATATTAGAAACACAAAATTTCAACGCGACAAAAATAAGGGAAGCACAGTATTGTGGGTCGGTCACACCTGGCACCAGTTACTGCTAGTAACGTCAGCACTCTTCACTGTCAACATACTTAATTTGTTCAACTGAAAAACTGCCATGAACATAATCCAGATAGCAATCATGTTTTCTCTTAGGCAAAAAAAAAACATTCAGTAGTGTAAGATTGGAATTTTTAGGGGACAGGGTTGTGCAGACTCATTTTCATTGTTATAAAAATAGTACTACCCTGAACTAGATACACAGCCGCTCCCAGAAATAAACACGTTTGATCAATCTGACAGTGTTAGTAGGAAAACATTAGCATTAGTGTTTTGGAGTGGACAATATAAGATAATATGAGTGTCTCTGTCTCTGCAGATCAGGAGGCTACAATTTCACTTTGTAGATGGTTTTCTGGTGTTTTACAGTCTTGTTCAGGTTTTGACGGTTCGACCACAGGTTGGTTGTCTAGCTGTACGGCATCTCTGCTCTCTTTCTTCACAATCTCTTCACCTGTGGTTCTACAGTCTGTGGTTGATAGCACCATTCCCTCCTGATTCTCCACTGAACTGTTTTCTTCTTTCTCCTCTCTCTGTGCCTCCACACAGTTTCTCCTCTCCTCTTCTTCTTCTTCCTTCTGCCTCTCCAGCTCCTCCTCAGTGGCCTGAAGCTGCAGCTGCTGCATCAATTCCTCCAGCTTGAGGGCTTTGCGCAGCTCGTTCTGCTGGATGATAGCACAGAGGTGCTCTGTTAGCTGCTCCTTCACCTCTGTTTTCTTGTGCAGGTCCAGTTTGGCCATCACATACTCAGCCTCTGCCTTCTCATAACGCTTTCTGTGACAAAATGTGAAGAAAAAATGTGGAGAAAAAAATGTCAGAAACATAACAGTAAATTTATAACAATCATATAAATAATACATCTAATTTAAGTCTTGATTTCCCTGAATCACTGTAACTCTGTGAGAATATTTGCTGTCACAGATTCCAATCGACTGTTCCTTGACAGTTCAAAAGAACTATAGCCAAAGTGGATACGGACACATTATGGAATGTCAAGCAAAACTGGCTCCAGCTTCTACAATCTGAGGAGTTGTTTTTTAAAGATGATTTTTTGGGGGCTTTTCCGCCTTTATTTCATGGGACAATTTAAAGGGAGAGTGGGGAGAAGAGTGTGAAAAGGACAGGCAGCAAATGAGCCATTGGTTGGACTTGAACTGCAGCCGCTGTGTCGAGAACTACAGCCCTGTACAGGGGTCGCTGTCTGATCCGGTTGAGCTACCAGGGTGTCCGATCTGAGGATTTATTTGATTTGTTCTTTACCATACATCCATTTTCAACTGAACATCTTTGAGCAATGGGGCTGTTAGACAAACTAGCAGTATGAAAAAGACTGGTTCAGGGCACCTATTGGGAAGTCTCAAATAATTACAAATATTAGTAAAAAGAAGTGCCAGATTAATTCACTTATTAGAGTACTCTGGTTTATAAAGAAGAGTGGGAAATGACCTTTCATCATGACTGATGATACAGGAAGTTAAACATATTTCATTTGTATTTAGTGAGTTACACAGGATTTTAGATTCAAGCTTCACTAATCACTGCATGTTGTCACAGAGTCGCACATTCTCCAGAACATCTGAGCAGAACGCCGTTGTGTATAAAACACACAAGCTTTGTAAGTGGAAAAAGGTTCTGTGAGTACAGGAATACAGCTGCAGGGGGCAGTGTTTCTAGGGTTTACAAACAGAGCATTAACAGTAAATGTACAGTACATTCATAGTGATATGGCCTATTTAAAAAAAAAAAAAAAAAATTAAAAAAAGAGTAGCACACTGACATCTTTCAGCACAGCCCTGTGATCGAATATAAAACAGTGCAGCGCATGAGGAGCTGCATGTACAGTGGCTGAACGAAACCAAAAATTTAACAAAGACAAACACGTTTTCAAATTGGCTTAAGCAGGTGGATATATGAAGAAAACAACATTGTTTTTAACAAATAATTAATATTATTCTGCCTCCACTGAAAACAGAAGGCTAACAGCAAACTGTGGCCTTGCTTTACTCTTGTTTCAACTATTAGTAGATTTGTATAATGAACTATTTCAGGAATATAGTGATTTGAATGTCTGTCTGTGGAAGGTCTCTATTTGGGAAAGTAAGTAACTGTTTATATTTATAGCTGACATGCTGAAAATTACTTCAACAAACCTTTGCCTACTTGTCATTGTAACAGAGGCATCTCTCTCATTCTCTGACATTTGTCGGAATGAAGTGGACTTAAAATTCTCACTATACAACAAAAGGGACCCTTTTTCGCTGCAGACAATTTGGCTTGTCACAGCAGGGAAAGCACAGGTGAAATTAATTCTATTAACAGAGTCTCCGTTCCATCAAGTGTTGCCATAAGCAATGACAATGAAATAAAATGCTCAAGAACAGGCCATGAACCCATCTGTAAGTAAACTTTTGATTTCCTAAGCTTGACAAATCAACATATTTCATCTCTGATGAAGACGCGGTATTGTTGAAACGTTAGTCCGTTTTCACAACAAAAGGCAGCAGTTTAGGCAGTGTGCTCCAGTTCCCTATTTTTTGTTAGCTGTCCTTGAGCTCAGAAGCACCTGCTTCAGCTGCATTTTGCTGGAAGATGTGCAGAGGAACCTGTTTCTATGTGAAACATATGTATTGGACTCTAGTACTTTCCTCTCCTCCTCTCTGCATATAATTCAAACAGCTTCTCACTACTACTGTGTATCCATCAGGAACCATTCAATTGTTTTTATTAAACTCAACTCTCTAATAGTTTTGTATTTTTTTTTACTGTCGTGTCTCTCTACCTTGCAGCAGTGTAGTCCCAGCTGGCTTGCTCTATCTTTCCTCTAAGGATGCCAATATCATTTGACACCATGTCATCAAGGGCCTGCAGCTCCTTCTGGATTCTTTTCAGCTTTACAGCCTCTGCCTGAGTTTGTCTGGATCTGTTGAGATAAACTTTCAGGGTTAATTTTTTTTGGTCTTCACTGTATTGGAGATCAATTCCATCTGTCATGATTACATGTTACTACACAGCATCAAAATAACTTGTACTTACTTCTCTGCAATAGTTTTTGTCAGCAGAGCTTTCTTACGTTTATTCCTCTCTTCAATTAGTTTGCGCTCTTGCTGTAGTTGTTCCAGGCGTGATTTTTCCCGTCTGTGACCACACACAAAGACAATTCAACACATTAAAATGCATTTTAAATACAAAGTCAAAAAAAGAGAGGGAACTGACATGATAAAATTAGCTGTAGATCTGATACAAACCTACAAATTAACTTTTGAACAAAAAATATGAAAACATATCCTTTCGAAAGGCTGCTTAATCATAAAGTAAGATTATGAGATTTTCCCCATATTGTGGAAACATATATTGGACTTAGGAAATTATATGAAAATGTTTCAGTCCAAATCAGTCCCTGCTTTCAGTTGTCCCTTCCTTGTCTTACTTATCTCACAACTGTCTTAAACATATCTTAGGTCTTAATACTCAGTTCCAATTTTAGTTAAATCATATCTTTTGTACGACATGTGCATGACACATGATGTGAACCTAAAGTTCTCCAACGCCATGCATGTATAGATTCAACTGAAATGTAAGCTCACTGTGAACAAGACTGATTATGTTAGTATCATTTGTGCAGCGGTCAAATGTGCAAAAAAGGAAACGTCAAAATACGTGAATTCTGACCGAAGCGTTCTAAACATGAATAGCCAAACAGGTGAATGTCAGTCACATCTCAGATCACATACGCATGGTTATGTTCACAATACATTGTCAAGTGACACAAATCTGATTTGTAAATAAACTCATTTCTCATTAGGTCTGAACCACTTGCATATTAGGTCGTAGAACTGACACATACCTGATCTCTGGCACACATTAGTATATTTACATGGAATTTATCCCACATTATCCTGATTTTGATCATATTTGGGATATTACATTATTGTAAAGCATGAAAACCAAGTAGATCTTATGACTGTGCACAAAATTACTACAGTAACCAGGCTACCCATCACCCATGTTCAATTGTGTCTTAATTTGCCGCAGTCTCAGTAACTATGCTTTATATCCATAAACAATGTTCAATAAGCAGGATAAAGTAAGTCACAGTATTCTGGTTCTGTAAGACTTTTCAAGGTTTCTAAAACCAGGGTAAGATGTTTACATGCACAGTACATAATCAGATAATCCAGACTCAAGATGACAGCCACAGCAACAGCTGTTTCTACCCCCCCATCGCAGGCAACGGTAGTTTCAAGGGTAATAAACAGTCTACATGTTGTTTCGGGCCTTTACAGTGTGTATGGTAACAAAAGCATACTAACAGTTCCACCTCTTGTTTCTCCAGCTCTTGGACCGGCGGGCAGCCCTCATCTGCAGCTGGTTCATGGTTGTCATTTGGTTTCGTCTCAGCGGGCTTCTGCTGCACCTTCTCTTCGTTATTCGGAGCCCCTGACCCGGTTGCCGGCTGAGACTCTTCCCTCTGCGGCGGTTTGGTGAGTTGCTGCTCTGGTGGAAGGACAGGGGATCCGGCTCCAGCAGTTTTCTGAGCGGCTAACTGCAGTGCCTTCTCCCGCTGTAACTGTTGCCGACTCCGGTTAGCTGGACCTGGTTTTCGACCGCGGGCAGCCCCAGCAGGTACCGCAGATTCTAAAAACATACGCGGTCCGAGCTACTGTTAAAGTGGTATTAAAGATAAAGACAAGCAGAGCAACCAATCGGAAAGCCTAGGGAGTAGTAGGAAACGTTACCTTTTTGCTGCATCCTCCGAAGCTCCTCGTCAGAAAAACCGGCCCAGCCGCTCATTTTACAATCCACAAGTAAAATGACCCAAACAAGACAGTAGAAATGTTGCATGCAGCAACTGTTCTGATTATTGCACGTTGACACTCATCGAAACGTCTCAAATTTACAGTCAAAGTCTACGAAGCTACAAAACTCCCACACCGCCATCTTTGTTTATTGATGCCACGTCAAGGACCCGCAAAAGACCGGCGAAGTTGACGTGACAGATATCGCCTGAATAAAAAAAGAATAAAAAGAAGAAGAAATAGTAACGGATAAAGTTGACAACGTTTCATAATTTAAAAAACATATATATATATATGTATGTTTTGCCGAAGTTAAAAATATATTTTGACGTATTTTAATAATTTGAACACAGACGTAAGACTTATGATAAGATCGAACACTTATCAGTCGTGTATAAAGTGTTTAGGTTTAGAATATACTTTTATGTTAGTGTGTTTCCACTTAATTTTGCATCCGTTGTGCCTGCATTAATTTCTCATCTGCTGCCACCTTCAGATCTTTGAAGGACTGACTATGGGTCAGAGGTTAATTAAAGAACCACTTCATGTGAAAGCTGCATGAAATTTAGTGGTTGTACTGCAAAGTGGAGGCATAGACACCCTGTTGTGTGGGTGTTGAGTGTGTCTAATTTAATTTACTCCCTATTTGTAAACAGGCCAGACAATATAAATCAGATATTATAATTATAATTATATCTATAATTAAAATAGATTTTATATCAACCATTTAAGTTTCTATGATGACTACAACATCAGAGCATAAAGATTGTTCGTATTCTGTTCTTTACATTTAACTGTGCAAGCTTCACTAGAAATTCTTTAACTCTGATCAGCTACTCTTATTTACCCAAGTACAACTGACACCAAATTGCCTCATTTTGACTTACTTACTGTAGGGGAGAGTAAACAAAACTTACTTTGGGGTGCATTCTGTCGAAATTTCTTGCTTTCAAAAAATCAACGACTTGGGCAGTGACCACCGGGTCATTTCTTGAATGGTGTTTTTTCAAATGCAGAAGAGAAGATAAAATACAATCCAGGAAGGCTGGTTTGTGGAATAAACCCATGGGCTTAAACAAGGTTAAACACAGCACAGAAGTCTATAATACTATAAGACAAGACTTTAGAGTACAACACAATATATCACAATAACCAATCATTTTTCCCTCTATTTGGATCATTGAACAAATACCTTCCATGTTTTTGTCATAGCCTGTGTTCCCTGCTTCACCAACACAGTAGTCTCTTGGTGAGGGGAATGCACTTTAATTCTCAGTTTTATCATGGCCAGGTTCTAAAAGGCATGAGCAGCTGGGGCTACACTTTGAAATCAGGTCTGAATGGTAATCAGACTTTTCAAACAGCCCCGGAAGCCTTTAACTTCTTTAATCCTGTCACGTCATGCACTTTTTTTTTGTTTTTTTTGTTAACACATACAAAGTGATGCCACACATATCATGTCTGCTGAGTCATGGTTAAGGTGAAGGTGGGATCTGTGCAGGACCAGAAAACTATTTGAGGACTTTGCTACAGGGGACTGAGTCCCATTATTTTTACTCTTGCTTTACTGCTATTCAGCAAACACATCACACACTGCTTACATTCAGCTCTATTATAACTTATGCCGTCATTACTGTCCATGTATGACTTTGCACGGTAATTGGTCAAGGTATAAACATAAAGCGTGTCTTTTCCTTGGCAGTGCTGAGGAGTCAAAGCGATGCAAAAAGAATGACCTCTGCTTGGAAACTAATAAAAACTTGCCTCCACATCTTTTTTGCATCTGGAAGCCAATTATGTGCAAGTTAAAAGGCGAAACACCTCAGGAGGGCATAAATTGCCGGCAGAGTGCAGACAGAACCAGGCATGGAGGCCAGATGGCAGAGAAAGAACTACTTTGGGCTCAGAATGTGTTTTGCTGCTGTAATGCCGGGCAGAGGATAGGACAGCCTTGGATCCCTGATTAGAGAGAGCCAGAGGGTGCACATGGCTCATTACTGAGATGACCTGTGGAGGAAGATCAGGGTTAGAGGTTGGGGGGAAGTGAATAAATCCCCTGCGGGAATAGGTGGTACGAACTGAAGAGGAGGTACAATGATGAGTCCACTCAGTTCAGAAGTTCAGCATTTCAGATCTGTCGCCCACGTGTGTTAAGTAGCGTTTACCAAGAGTCAGAGAAAGTTTGTCCTCTCTGCAACACAGCAAGTGGACATTAATCTGAAGTTTGTTCATATGTGACTTATTAAACAAAATCTATTTTTTAGATGGGAACCAATACAATAAATTGTGTGAAAACTTTAAACATAAAGTTGCCTATTTGTTAGGCAACTTTTTTGCTCATATTGTTCCTCTAATCAATCTCTTGTCAGCAATGTAAAGGTCCTTGACTGGTGATTTTACACATCCCATTTTTCCCATGACAAAAAAATCAGAAACACTTAACTTTTTTTCTTTAATTTAGCACACCAATACTTTATTTAGATTTATGTGCATTTTTTTTTTACTCACAACTATTTCGGTTAAATCATCAAATAAAAAATTCATCTGTGCTTATCAGCAAACCAGCATTTCCTACACAGCCAACATTTCATAGCAAACAAAGCAGTTGTTGGGCAAATGATTACAGACCACATATGAAATAAGTTCTGTTCAGGACTGAGACTTCCATGCTGTAGGAACCAGCCCTGGTTGTTACTGTATCAGGGTTTAGGCTAACATCATTATGTTTTTTTTCTTATGAAAGTGTAACATTTAGGTTAAAAACATGAACCACAAGGCATAAATTAAACTTCTGCAATGTTATATATTTTCAGTGTATTTTCCTACAATATCTCATACATAAAAACAAGGTTGCTAAACCTGTAGTGGGTGTCTGCAGATCTCTACAATGAAACACAGATACCATACTTATGTTGGACATCCATGGAAGACCATGCTGGAGAAACATATATTTGAAGAGTTCATTTGCAAAAACAGATAACTCCATTTTTATAGATTTTAAGAAAACTTTTTTTTGTTGTTGTTTGCATGAGATAATATTAATCAAACTGAAGTTGAGAGGATTTGACCCAGTAGAAATGACATGACAAAAATAGAGATAACTTAAGTTTGATTGATATTGTCTCAGGTAGACGATGGAAAAGCGCGTTTTCTGAACGTTTTTGAAGATGGAGTTATCTGTTTTTGCATATGAACTCTTCATTTTTTGACTTGTTTTTAATGTATAAAGACCTCTAACAGAAGTCCTGATAACATACTTTTTGTGTGTGTCCACAGCGTTCAAAGTAGGTCGGGCCAAATGTCCAGACTGTGGAAGGGAACACCTAAACAACACAATGTAACTCCAAGTCAATCACACTTGTGCAAAATCAACCTGTCCAGTTAGGAAGCAACACTGATTGTGAATCAGTTTCACCTGCTGTTGTGCAAATGGAACAGACAACAGGTGGAAATGAGAGGCAATTAGCAAGACAACCCCTGTAAAGGAGGGGATCTGCAAGTGGTGACCACAGACCACTTCTCTGTTCTCATCCTTTCTGGCTGATGTTTTGGTCACTTTTACATTTAGTCAGTGCTCTCAGCCCTAGAGGTAGCATGAGGTGGTGTCTACAACCCACAGAAGTTGTTCAGCTAGTGCAGCTCATCCAGGATGGCCCATCAATGTGAGCTGTGGCAAGAAGGTTTCCTTTGTCTCTCAGCACAGTGTCCAGAGCCTGGAGGAGATACCAGGAGACAGGCCAGTACACCAGGAGACACGGAGGGAGCTGTAGGAGGGCAACAACCCTGCAGCAGAACTGCTACCTACTCCTTTGTGCAAGGAGGACCAGGAGGAGCACTGCCAGAGTCCTGCATCATGACCTCCAGCAGGCCACTAATATGTCATAAAAGGAACAGTGTGTTTGAGGTGTACCTTAAAATACATCCACAGGTGTGCCTCCAGTTAACTCAAATGTTGTCAATTAACCTATCAAAAGCTTCCAAAGCCATGACATCTTCACCTGGGCTTTCCCAAATAGTTTGAAGACATAGCAATCTTAGTGTATGTAAACTTCTGACTTTGAAAACGTAGCAAAAAAAATTTCTCTAAAAAATTCTCTCTCTCATTATTCTGGCATTTAGCAAATAGAAATAATTTAGGTCATACTAACTGACCTAAAACAGGAAACGTTTAGTGTGATTTAATGTCAAACAGTGAGGAAAAAAAGGTTATACATCTTTTTATATAGTGTATGTAAACTTCTAGTTTCAAATGTATCTGGATAGTGAATATGGACGGTAAGTGTCACAAACACGCAAAATTAACATCATATACACATTTGTCAAATGTGGAATGCTTGCTGACTTGATTCCTTGGAAATATTATAATATGACATGAGGAACATGGTCTAGTTCTGTGGTATTCAGCCATTGTTGATGATGCTGACAGAGGTATCCAAAGACACATTTGGTTTTATTCCACGTAAGAAATGGTCATTTGTTTTGAATAGAACATTGGCTTGTAATGGTGGATGATTTATATTTGCAGTAAGTGTGCCCATCACCTTTGGCCTCCCTGCTATCCTTAAAGACACATAGCCTATGTGGCTGATTCAATCAAACAGGAAGCACTGTGAAACATAAACAGCCAGTCCGAGATATCAGGGAGTAGGAGCCTGGAAGGAATTGAGGATGATTGGGGTCAGGCCGTGGCTACGGCTCTGAGCTGGAACCTGGAAGAACTTCTAATTGCTGTTTAAAAAAAATATGTATGTAGAGTCAAAGCTGACCCCTCAGCCTTCTTTCCTTTTCTCCACCAAAGTGCCTTCTTGCTTCCCTCAGCTATAGTTGTGAATTTGCTCTTTATTTTCTATCGTTGACATGCCCTTCTGCCATTTGCAGCCAGTCTGTAGTGCTAGACAGTGGCCTGACATCATGCAAACTTTTCCTTTTATCATTCTCTTCACCTTTGGTGTGTGCATCTCAGTTTTGGTGCGTTTCCCCACTCTCCTATTGTCTGTGGAAAAGAAAAATGGTGCTTTGATTCAGTCGTGGTTTTGTGAACTGCTTCTTGACAGTCCTCTTTCTCTTTTTAAGTTTTTTGCTTGAGCCTAAAATTTTCCTGTAAACATTCCCTTAAGCCATTTTATTGTTAGAAAAACACTT